ATGGGTGTGCGGGACGCATGCGGGCACACCCACTGGGACCTTCGGTGGAGCTCCCTATGGGGCCACGAAACGTGTGAGGGTGTGCCGAAATGAGTGTGCGGGACGCATGCGGGCACACCACTGGGACCTTCGGTGGAGCTCCCTATGGGGCCACGAAACGTGTGAGGGGTGTGCCGAAATGGGTGTGCGGGACGCATGCGGGCACACCCACTGGGACCTTCGGTGGAGCTCCCTATGGGGCCACGAAACGTGTGAGGGGTGTGCCGAAATGGGTGTGCGGGACGCATGCGGGCACACCCACTGGGACCTTCGGTGGAGCTCCCTATGGGGCCACGAAACGTGTGAAGGGTGTGCCAAAATGGGTGTGCGGGACGCATGCGGGCACACCCACTGGGACCTTCGGTGGAGCTCCCTATGGGGCCACGAAACGTGTGTGCGGGTGGGGGGGCATGACCATGTGTGGCGGGACGCATGCGGGCACACCCACGGTGGAGCATGGAGCGATATGGGAAACGAAACCGAAATGGGTGGGACCTTCGCGGGACGAAACGTGTGAGGGGTGTGCCGAAATGGGTGTGCGGGACGCATGCGGGCACACCCACTGGGACCTTCGGTGGAGCTCCCTATGGGGCCACGAAACGTGTGAGGGGTGTGCCGAAATGGGTGTGCGGGACGCATGCGGGCACACCCACTGGGACCTTCGGTGGAGCTCCCTATGGGGCCACGAAACGTGTGAGGGGTGTGCCGAAATGGGTGTGCGGGACGCATGCGGGCACACCCACTGGGACCTTCGGTGGAGCTCCCTATGGGGCCACGAAACGTGTGAGGGGTGTGCCGAAATGGGATGATGACGATGATGATGAAGATGGGAGGCGGGGGCAGCGGGAAGGAAGGAACGCGGGGCGCTGTCTCTTCAAAACGAGGACCCAACACCACAGGATGGTTGGGAAAAAAGAAACGTCCTGGTAGCGGACAGCCGGCGGCAGGCGGGACTCCCGAGGGCCCCGACGGGCCTCGCGGGAAGCCGGAGTGGGAGACGACGACGGCGTGGGGGGAAGGCGGCGACAGCGACGGCGACGGCGACGGCGACGGCGACGGCGACGACGGCAGCGACGGCGGCGGCGGGGGCGGCAGCGGCGACGGCGCTGGCGACGAATTCCTCCTCTCCCCCCACCCAGGTGACCCAGCTTATGATCAGCGTGACCATGATTCTCGACATGATGGTCCTTGTCATGTTCGCCGTCAGCCAGAATGCGCGCGCGGGGAGAGGGAAACTCTGCATGGGAAGGTGGAGGAAGAGCAGCGGCGGCAGTATGAGCAGAAGGGGAGAAGCACGAGGAGGGAGAGGGGAAGCAGATGTAGGAGAGCGTACAGGATCCTTCCTGCTTCGTGTTTCTCTGACACCCTGCCTCCTTCACGGCAGACGGACATCCTGCGCAACGACTGTTTCAGGATCCAGCTCCTGCTCCTGCGCAAACTCGCCATCATCATTTGTCAACAACGAGAACAACATCATCAGCAGCCGCAGCAGCATCAGCATCATCATCCTCCTTGTGCCCCTCCACCTGCTCCTCGTCCTCCTCCTTATGCTCTTTCTCCTTCTCCTCCTCCTCCTCCTCCTCCTCCTCCTCCTCCTCCTCGACGTGCCTCTCATCGTGCCCCCCCCCTGCTCTCAACCTCCTCGTGCCCCTTCTTGTCCTCCGCGGCCGACCTGGCTCGAGCCCAGTGGCCGCACACGTGGGGTTATCGAACGTCCGTTTTTCCGGCGGGGGGGGCGATCGGAGGGCGCCGGTTGGTTCGCCCGCGCCGGTCCAGACCAGGCCGAGGGAGAAGGAGGAGGAGGAGGAGCAGCAGCAGCAGGAGGAGGAGACATCTTGATGGCTAGCACACCCGCTTCAGTTTGGGCGTGTCTCCCTGGTTTCGCTCAGCCTGGCTGAGACCTTTGGGCCAGAGTCCCGAGAAGATTCGCCTGTGCCACCCGCCTCGCGACATGGGCCTCCCCCGCCGAGCACCGTGCAGTTCACATTCACGTGCCCTCTGCCTGGCCCTGTTTTAAAGGGAGGCTTGCCCGCTTCCCTCAGGCGGTGCAGAGTGCGGTAGCAAAAGCAGTTTCAGTCGCGTGGAACGCAACATATGGGCTGCCAGTGGCCACGCAGCCCTGCATGGTTGGGTGTCCAGAACAATGTGATGACCATGCGCACGATTGCCATTGTGGCTCGCGCTAGAAGCTGGTGCCCCCTCCTGGTCCCGATCCGCTCCTGGCCGAATCCTTGTCCGTGCGCCTGGAATATGTGCCTGCGAAGTTGTGCGATGACACGATCAGTCCTCTGGTGCTCCTTTCCCGCATCTATAATTACAGGCGCGACCTCTACAATCGTGGTCGCGGCGGAATCAAAGACGGAGCAGCGGATCGTATCCGCTCGCACCCAACTGGCCCTCGCTACGCCCAGGGTCAGGTTCGTTAAATTCGGCCGTCGCGCCCACGCGTAACTTCATCATC